CTTTGATCATCGTTGCGTTATTTGTCCATTCACCCTGCATCTACTTATACCGCATCAAGCCATTCATCGGTTTATCAGCAGCGGTCGGATAAAATAAAAGAACACTATTATCTCCTACCTTTGGACCTTATAAGCTAGCATGTCATGAAGAATGCCATTGTGCACTTGTAATCCAAAAGGGGCGACATTATCTAAAGTGGTGATGAAATTTTGCATTTTTAGTTAACTGTAAATGGAGATCCTACATATTCATTGATGCATAACTTTATGCATCGGTCTATCTTTCTAACTAACCAATCCTAGCCCATCAAATAATCCACTAGCCTTTCTGCCACTTTATATTCAAAAGTTCTCTTGAATCCTAAACCGCACTTATTTGTACATTATTAACTTATAACACAGGCCATAGAGGTATTTTTCAGTCATGTCATGTCGTGTATACATAGTCAGTATAGTTCAAATTTTGTGTAAATGCACCATCTTCTGCTCTTCAATTTTTTTCTTATTTTGACCTCATGTGGACTTTGTGGATGCAATTCGACCTCCTTTGCTGCATTAATTAAATTCACTTCGGCCTCTGAGCCAATACCCAATAAATTTATGGTGGCAAAATAATTCATTAATTTGAGATCGGAGTGTCAAAACAGTGTAGAAGGATTAAAAAGAGTTCATTTTAATTCACAATGGTTAATTCTGAAGAAGGTCAGAGCCGTTCATTCATAATGACTAACCAAAGCACCGGCTTATTATGATTCTCTCCTTGACCAATACTTCTTCTACTGATATCCAACAGTGTTCGCTTAAGTGCCTAACCTTAGTCAAATGAAGATGCTACACTACCCAGTGATATGTGAAGGCTGTTATTTTGAGTAGACGTTGCAGCTCATCAGTGTTGATTCTAATCGAAAAACAACGCTTTTACATTCCGGCACAAAAATCCTGCTGTTTCATGATTCTAAGTAAAGCATTTACTGAAAGGAAAATGCAGAACTGACACAGTGTATAGATAGTAAGTCCAGTAGAATAACTTGCAGAGTCAGCCACACTGAAGAATAAAGTGTGCTACTGGTTAGAAAATTGTGTCAAAATCAAGAACTATACCTCATGCCACTCTGACACATTGTAGCCGAGATTTATTTTCTAAAGTAATTTGCTGAAAGTTAGAAGATATTACGGAACAAGTCATTCATAGCTATGTTGTAAATGCATCTGTAAAGGCAGGGCACATAAGCCTAACTAAACAGTCCTTTCCATGGTGCAGATGATAAAAAACCTATGGAATCATGAAAAAGGCATCAAAGCTTCCGTTAATACACCAAAATTTATTTAAAGTTGAAGTCGTCAACTAAGCATCAAGGCAAAAAAGTGCTCATATTGGAATAGAAAAATTCATGTTAAGACTTTCACAAAGTAGCTCAAGGGTGATTTGAAATTAGTTTGCCTTTGCAGCAAAAAATTACTTCTGTCTTAAAACATAAATTTTGGGGATTTCTCACCTCTGAATCCTTTAACCTCCAAAAGTGCAAAATTTGCATGTACAACTAAATTACCTATTATGGAAGATGGTTCTCCGCATTCGATTATTAAACATCACAAATGCGGAAGACAAACCGGAAGACACTCGACGTGTGGCCAGCTTAAATCCCAGTGGAAATATCGTAACTACAAATGGAGGAATTTAAAGAATATCCAAGAATTTTGGCCAGGTTTAGAAGCAGCGTAACTTTTATTCCAATTGTAATTGGCAGACCCATCTGATAAGCAGTACCAAAAGTCTGCATTGTTCACATTGTTTGAAAGTGTAGTTTATCAGGAAATAAATGGTTTGCAAATACTTTAAAAAATTTTAATTGAGAGTGATCCTCCTTCTGCATCTTCTCCTCATGACTCACGCTATATTAAGGCTGCATCTGCATATATTTTTTTAAATTCTAATTA